TAAGCATCGGAGCTCGATTTCAGAGAAAACATGCAAGCTACGAGACGAATTAGTTGAACAAAAACAGCTTTGAATTAGACCTCTCAACATAGAATTATTGGATTGATGGATTTTTCAGACGTTAAGAAGTTAAGACTTAAGTTTGCACTCACTCAGGTTTAAGCTGTCGACAAAATAGCCAGTCAATTATGGGCGTTTCAATAAGCTATCGAGCATCCCAGCTCGATTTCAGAGAAATCAACCAAGCTACAAGGCAAATCATTAGGACAAAAGTTATGCAGTCTGCAAAGTTAAGAAAAGACAATAACTTTAAACCCAATCAATTGTTAGCTGTGGACAAAAACAGCCAGTCAATTCTGGGAAATTCAATTTAGCCAAGCATCGCAGCTCGACTTCAGAAATCAACCAAGCTACAAGCCAAAATAAATGAAGAAGAATGCTTTAAATCAGATTCACGAAGAGATAGTATTACTGTAGTGTTTGAGTCTATTAAGCTTCGTAGCTGGATAAAAAAAAACATGCAACCTAAAAAACTGGAATGAAGTTAAGAGGTATGTTTGCACCCACTCAATTGTTAGCTGTGGACAAAAACAGCCAGTCCATTATGGCAGTTTCAATTTAGCAAGCATTGAAGCTCGATTTCAGAGAAATCATGCAAGCTACAAGGCAAATCATCTGAACGAAAACCGCAGTAATTTATATCAGCAGAGAAAAATAGGATTTATAGATCTATGGCTTATTCTTAGCATCGTAGCTGGATTTGAATAAAATTATGCAATCGCGATCTTAATATTTTAACCATTGAGTTTTTAGCTGTGCACAAAAACATCCGGTCAATTCTGGGAAATTCTAATTAACCAAGCATCGTAGCTGAGCTACAAGAAATCTTGCGAGCTGAAAGACAAAATTTTTGAACAAAAATTGCATTCTATCAGATTCCATCAGTGAACTAAGATTTTTTTGGATTGATGGATTTTGCCAATCGTCGTATTTGGATTCAAACAAAAATATGCAATCAACAAAACTAAGAAATGAAGTTAGGAGTTAAAAATTGCACCCCTTCAGTTGTTACCTGTGGACAACAACAGCCAGTCAATTATGAGAGTTTCAATTTAGCCGATCATCCGAGCTTGATTTCACAGAAATCAAGCATTCAAAGGGCAAACGCTTTAGACAAAAAAAAGCAAAACTAGTTGTCAGCAGAAAAAAGCTTTGGATCGAGGAACTTTGTTGAGCATCGTTTCAAACAAAGTTATGCGGTCTGCAAAATTAGGAAAAGATATAAGGTTTGTACCCCATCAATTGTGAGCTGTGGACAAAAACAGCCAGTCAATTAAGGGAGATTCAATTTAACCGACTATTGGAGCTTGATTTCACAGAAACCAAGCAAACGAAGAGCACATTCTTTAGATAAAAAGCAATAAATTAGTTGTTGACAGAAAAAAATTTTGGATTGAGGAGTTTTGCTGAGCATCTTTTCAAACAAATTATGCAGTCTGTAAAATTATGAAAAAATATTGAGTTTGTACCCAATCAATTCTTAGCTGTGGACAAAAACAGCCGGTCAATTATGTTAGATTCAATTTAGCAAGTATCGGAGCTCGAGTTCAGAGAAATCACGCAAGCTACAAGTCAAAATAATTGAACAAAAACTGCTTTAAATTAGATTCACGAAGAGATAGTTTTAATGTATTGATTGATTCTTCTAAGCTTCGAAGCTGGATATGCAACCTACCAAACTAAAAATGAAGGTAAGCGTTAAGTTTGAAAAAGGGTTGACAAAACAGACAGTCATTTATGAGAGTTGCCTTTAGCCGAACATCGAAGTTTGATTTCGCGAAATCAAGCAAGCAAAGAGCAAGTTCTACAAGTAAAAAAATAGATCTATGGCTTTCAAAGGGCAAACGCTTTAGATAAAAAAGCAAAACTAGTTGTCAGCAGAAAAAAGCTTTGGATCGAGGAACTTTGTTGACCGTCGTTTCAAACAAAGTTATGCGGTCTGCAAAATTAGGAAAAGATATAAGGTTTGTACCCCTTCGTAGTCTTCTAAGCTTCGTAGCTGGATTAAAACAAACATATGCAACCTACATTACTTAACCAAATATTAGATGTCAGCAGAGAGAAGTTTTAAGATCGAGGAAATTTTCTAAGCGTCGTTTGAAACAAAGTTATGCTGTCTGGAAAGTGAAGAAAAAACATTAAGTTTAAACCCAATCAATTGTTAGCTGTGGACGAAAACAGCCAGTCAATTATGGGAGCTTCAATGTAGCCAAGCATCGCAGCTCGATTTCAGAGAAATCAAGCAAACTACAAGGCAAATTATTTGAACAAAAATTGCTTTAAATAGATGTCACAAAGAGGAATAGGATTATTTAATTTTTTTTAAGCTTCGAAGCTGGTTTGTAACAAAACTATGCGACCTACAAAACTAAGAAAGAAGAAACCAATTAAGTTAACACGCATTCAATTAAAAGTTGTGGACAAAAAACAGCCAGTCAATTATGGGACATTCAACTTAACCAAATATTGGAGCTTGATTTCACAGAAATCAAGCAAACAAAAAGCACATTCTTTAGATAAAAAGCAATAAATTAGTTGTTGACTGAGAAAAACTTTGGATTGAGGAGTTTTGCTGAGCATCTTTTCAAACAGATTATGCAGTCTGCAAAATTATGAAAAGATATTAAGTTTGTACCCAATCAATTGTTAGCTGTGGACAAAAACAGCCGGTCAATTATGTGAGATTCAATTTAGCCAAGCATCGGAGCTCGAGTTCAGAGAATTCATGCCAGCTGCAAGGCAAATTATTTGAACAAAAATAGCTTCAAATTAGGTATCACAAAGAAAAATAGGAGCTTTGGATTGATGAATTCTTCTAAGCACCGTAGCTGGATTAAAACAAAATTATGCAAGCCACAAAACTTAGAATCAAGTTAAGAGTTAGGTCTGCACCAATTCAATTATTAGCTCTGCGCAAAACAGCCAGTCATTTAGGAGAGCTTCAATTTAGCGGAGCATCGGAGCTTGACTTCACAGAAATCAAGCAAGCAAAGAGCACATTCTTTGGATAAAAAAGCAATATGTTAGCTGTCAACAGAAAAAACTTTTGGTTTAAATAATTTTGCTAAGCATCTTTTCAAACAAAGTTATACAGTCTGTAAAAATAATAAAAAACATATTAAGTTAGAAGAAATTAAGTTTGTACCCAATCAATTGTTAGCTGTGGACAAAAACAGCCAGTCAATTATGGAAGATTCAATTTAGCCAAGCATCGGAGCTCGATTTCAGTGAAAACATGTTAACTGCAAGGCAAATTATTTGAACACAATAGCTTTAAATTAGAGTAACGTAGAGATAGTATTATTGTAACGAATGAGTCTTCTAAGCTTCGTAGCTGGATTAAAACAAACATATGCAACCTACATTACTTGACCGAATTTTTGTAGATCAATTGTTAGCTGTGGACAAAAACAGCCGGTCAATTATGTGAAATTCAATTTAGCCAAGCATCGGAGCTCGAGTTCAGAGAATTCATGCCAGCTGCAAGGCAAATTATTTGAACAAAAATAGCTTTAAATTAGGTATCACAAAGAAAAATAGGAGCTTTGGATTGATGAATTCTTCTAAGCACCGTAGCTGGATTAAAACAAAATTATGCAAGCCACAAAACTTAGAATCAAGTTAAGAGTTAGGTCTGCACCAATTCAATTATTAGCTCAGCGCAAAACATCCCGTCAATTAGGAGAGCTTCAATTTAGCATAGCGTTGGAGCTTGACTTCACAGAAATCAAGCAAGCAAAGAGCACATTCTTTGGATAAAAAAGCAAAAAGTTAATTGTCAACAGAAAAAACTTTTGGTTTGAATAATTTTGCATAGCATCTTTTCAAACAAAGTTATACAGTCTGTAAAAATAATAAAAAACATATTAAGTTAGAAGAAATTAAGTTTGTACCCAATCAATTGTTAGCTGTGGACAAAAACAGCCAGTCAATTATGGAAGATTCAATTTAGCCAAGCATCGGAGCTCGATTTCACTGAAAACATGTAAGCTGCAAGGCAAATTATTTGAACACAATAGCTTTAAATTAGATTAACGTAGAGATAGTTTTATTGTAACGAATGAGCCTTCTAAGCTTCGTAGCTGGATTAAAACAAACATATGCAATCTACATTAATTGACCGAATTTTTGTAGATCAATTGTTAGCTGTGGACAAAAACAGCCAGTCAATTATGGGAATTCAATTTAACAAGTACCGAATCTCGATTTCAGAGAAATCATGCAAACTACAAGGCACATGATTTGAACAATATTGCTTTAAATTAGATGTCACAAAGAGAAATAGGAAACTAAATAAGCAACCAACAAAACTAAGAACTGAAATTAAGAGTCAATTTTGCACCCATTCACATGTTAGCTATGGACAGAAAAGCTAATTAATTATGAGAGTTTCAATTGAGCCGAGCATCGGAGCTTGATTTCACTGAAATCAAACCAGTAAAGAGCAAAATCGTTAGATAGTAAGCAAGAAACTAGTTGTCAGCAGAAAAAAGAATGTATGGATTGAGGAGTTTTGCTTAGGGTCTTTCAAACAAAGTTCTGCAGTCTGCAAAAAAAGGAAAGATAGTAAGTTTGTACCCAATCAATTGTTAGCTGTAGACAAAAACAGCCAGTTATTTATGGGTGTTTCAATTTAACACTCATCGGAGCTCGATTCCAGAGAAATCATGCTAAGTACAAGGCAAATTATTCGGACAAAAACTGCAGTAAACTTTGTCAGCTGAAAAAGTAGAAGTTTACAGATTGATGGCTTTCTGTTAGCGCCGCAGCTGGATTTCAGCAAATTTAAGCAATCCACAAAGCTAAAAAATGAAGTTAGTTTTTAACTATTGAATAAACATTTTTTGGAGAAACTTATTCGAAAAAAAATACCTCACGACGTACTCCACTTATGCGCTACCTAGATGAGGTAGTTTTATTTGAATTTTCAAGAAATTGACCATATCTTGAAATTTACCATTCCTATAAAATTCAGCATTCTGTGAACAAATTTTTTTTTGGATAAATCTGAACTACAGCAAGAAAGTTCAAGATAAAATGCCATTTTTGATTTCCTAATTTCAACATCGCCTATTCGCCACGAAGAAATCGGATCAATATCTTCCATATCACGAGTCAAAGCTACGAACCACATGTATTGATATACTTCTCCTTCTTCGGCGCCTCCGATCAAAGTTGTTTCTTCAGGTAGTGTAATAACTTTACCAAAACTGTCTTTAATTGTACAAATAGCTTTTACGTTGAATCTCGAAACTAACACTGGCATTGACTGTTCCATAACTGCCGTTTCTATATCTGGTTCTCCAACGTCCATAATGCAAGACTCGAATTTGTAACCCTGTGCTCGAAGTTTATCATACGCAGGCGCAGTGCACCAGTCTTCTAGAAGGTCAAACTGGCTCCTAAAAAGCGCCTCGACAAGATGAGGAAAAATGATTTTATGACAGACGTCATTAAACCTCGTAATCGTAAAGTTAGGATCCACTTTTCTGATTTCACTCATAACTTCACTTGTAGCGTTGGCAGCAAAAACACCCCCAATAAAACGAAAAACTTTGTCGGATACAAAACGTGTTCCAGCGACTACCGGATTTTCCGATTCCTGATACTGATTCTTAAGATCGAACATTTTATTGAACACAGGGTTTGTGTCTTTGAAATTTTCCCACGTAGCATACCATTTTGCATCTCTGTGAAGCTCCATTCGTAGTTCGCTTTCATTTAAATCATGAGTTTCAGGGTCGAACTCTTTGGCTGCTTTTGTTGAAAACATTCTGAAATCTGACCTTCTCTTTAACACCTTTGGACTGCTGTATACTCTAGCTCTCGCTTATTCTTCGTCTATATTTTGCTTTACCATTTCAGAAGCGTTCGAAATTGTCTGAAAAGCTTCACTTTCTGTGATGACTTTGCCGCTTTTCGAAATAGTTTCTCCTGCTGTTTTGACACTTTTTCCCACATTTTCAAACACATCTGAAGTCTGTTTACCTATTTCAGATTTTTTGAGTTCGTCGATTCCTTCTTTAAGTTTCCCAGAAACATCTGATAGTTTTTCTTTGAAAATTTTACCCTTTTCGCTTGTTTCGTCTTCGAAAACCTGATACTTTTTTCTCGCAATTTGTAACGCATCTGATTCGTCTAATTTATTCGTCTCTTCTCAGAACTTTTTAATTGAATCTATCACTTCTTTATTCTGTTCAAACTCTTGTCTGACCGATTCGTAAAGTTTTCCAAAAAATCCGGCTCGTTTTGGCGCTTCAAATGTCGAACCGGCGTGAAAGCAATTCTTCTGCACTAATGAAGGTCGAAAAACTGCCGTTAGATGGTAAATACTATTAACATAGTAGTTAGTAATGATACTATTACTAGGCCCATTAGTTATAACTCCTGGTTGGTTAGACTGGCTCTTTGAAAACTTCTTGACTTGAACTTTGGTCAAATTAGGAGCAAAAAGAGAATTTGGTTTGGACACCAGAGCTAAACCATAAGACTTGGAATACATTGAAGCCATACAACCTGAAATAATGCGATGGACTTGAAGGGATATCTTTAACTATATTGCCCCTTTTGCAAAAGGGGGATTCGTCATTAGGTGTAAGATTCTCATATGCTTAACCGTTGATTTATTTCTTTATAGGGGGATATTCGTTCCTAGGTACCCGAGGGGGGAAAGGATATAAAAAAAAAGTTCCCTTTTAAGATTTTATTTTCTTACTATGATTAATATTCGTACATTCAAGAAAACCTCGCATTAATCAAGGCAAAAAAATTGTTGATTTGAAAACAAACAAATTTACTGATTTTCCATTTTTTTTGTAAATAACTCCCCTGCCATTGCATATACTGAAGAATTTGTTTTGAGCAAAAATTGAATTAATTGAACAAGACAGAAAAAAAAAACATTTTTAGAGCAAGAATTTTGCTAACGGTTAAGTTCTTTGCACCACGGGGACAGCGTAAAAACATATGTGAGCTCTCAAAAATCAATTTCTGGAGTCCGAAAAATTCAGAATACAGAATAGTTACAAATCAACTCATATATTTGAACTGAATGTTTTTAACTTTATGTCTGAAACTTTGCAACACTTCTTTCTTGTCAACTTTTTTCTTCTTCAAAACAGGCTTTTCAATATCGTCACTTTCTTTAACCGCCTTTTCTTCAAGTTTTCGGGTCGATTCTTTTTCGGCTCTTTCTTTCACCAATTTGGTGACCTTCTTTTTTGTATTTTGTCCATTTTTACTCGCTAACGATTCCTTACTGGGTCTCTTTTTAATAATTTCCGACGGTGAATCGTCACTGATTTCCCTTGCAACTTTTTCTACCTTCCTTTTTACCGGTTCTCGTTTTTCTGCTGTTTTTTTCGACACTGGATTTTTGGACTTCGACACTGCTACGGTTTTCAAATCATTTCGTTTTCTTTTCAACGTTTTTGTCTTTACTTCTTTGTCCTTATTTTCGTCTGAACTGATGCATACGGCTTCTGAAACCTTTAAGTTCTGAACTTCATTACGACATTCCATAAGTCATCTTGAGCTTTTTTGACCTTTTCTGACCCTTCTGTTTCTGTTTCACTTTCATTGTCAACTCCTTTAAGAGCATCTAATGCTTTCTCAAATGTATCAATAACATTTTTCGGTTTGTAAACATCATCTTCGCTTTCAATTTCTGGATCTTCATCTTCATTTTCTTCAGTTTTTTGAACGCTTTTTTCGCTTTTTTGCTCAGATTTTTGTTTTTTCAACTTACTGTGCTTTTGAATTTTCACTTGCAAGGTTTTCTTTGCTTTGTTTTCTTCTTTCAACTTCTGAATTCGCTTATTTCTATCTTTCGTTTCCGCAATTCTTTCGTCCAAACTTGCCAAATTAATCGGAATTTCATCCGACTCAATACCAAACTCAGATAACTTTTCATGCAAGTTCAAGTACATTTCACGCTTTTTCATCAACCGCCTTTTCGATTGACCATCAGATGCTACTAAATTTGTATTCTGAACTGAAGTCGGAGTTTTGAAGGTCTCAAACGTCTTTCTACCCCTCAGCCTTTTTACATGCTGGTCTTCAGGGGTTATATATCTGGCCTTTAGGATTTTCTTGTCAATTATGTAGTTATTAGTCGCATCTGCTGCAATTTGAGCCACTTCTGTGTTTTCAAACTCAACGAAAGCGTAGCCTTTGAAACCACCGGTTCGTTTGCTTCGCTCTACTTGGACTTTTGTGACCTTTCCGAACTGCGAAAAATATTCTTTGAGTGCTTCGTGATAAAAACCGAATGGTAAGTTGCCATCGTAGAGTCGACCTCGTTTTGAAAGGCTAGGAGCGTCTATGTTTGCCTTTGAAGCCGTTTTGTTAACCATATTAACTTGAAGCGAAAATTTGAGAGAAGAATGAAAACTTACAGGAATGAAAAACTAAAAACAAAGCAACATACTTTTTGAATTCAAAATTAAGTTCATCAATTCCATCGAAAATACATGTGCATGTAATTAATCTAGGTTAAAAATATGGTTCGATGACAATCAAACCAATTCCAATTTACCCTATGGCATTCTACCCTATACTAATCTACCCTATATATCAAACCACCCTATGCCAAATTACCCAATGCCAATTTACCCTATGTTCTAGAAATAATTCAATTGGATTGATCAGAGATATATATCTCGGTTTAAGATCGCCGGTGAGCATAGACAAAATATACAGTATAGTATAGACCAAATCCTATTTACAATTAACATAAAGCGAGATAAGAAAAGTTGTTGGTTCGTCCTTTCTGTTTGAATTCCTCTTTGAAGCTTGAAGTATTTAGCTTGTAATTGGAATTCTCAGCGGCAGTAGTTTTATTGTGGTTGGTGAGCCATCTTTTTTCTTGCTCAGAATACAATCAGCTTTCAAGAAAGTAGTTTCCTCTCCGCTGCTCAGATTGGTCACATCAAAACAATGTAGATGCCAACTTGTCTTTCCCCTCCCCTTTCCGAATTCGATCTCCACTACCAGTCTCTTCATTCTGCCCACGTCTATCATCTGCAGTTCAAACACATACCAAACAAGACCTTTGTGCTTAAATTTGCTCAGTTTCTGTCTGCCCGTGTCGCCATTCCGACCAAACAGTGTGAAGAATACATTGTTGTCTGTGTGCTGACAATACACTCCCACACTGTACTTTACTGTGGACTGTGCTATAAGCAACATAACAAAACAATCAATCACTCATTTAATTTCAAACTCACGTTCAACTGCAGCTCATCTAAGGTTCCATCTTTTTAAAGCACTGTTATTACTTCGTTTATCTGTTATAAATAAGTCAAGTAAAGGCAGATCGTAAAAATACGTACACCCTAAAGCATTATAAAAAACCCTGCGCTAAAATTTGTTTTGAAAACAGCTGATTGATTCATTTTTGTGAATTCAGATACTCGCCAACGTAAACAATCTTCCTAGATGGAACCTAAATAAACACAAATAATCGTTGTATCGTATAAAAAAAAGTTTCGTAAGGACTATGCTTTTTTGTCCGAATTGCAAAGTCTGCAGAAAAAAGTTAAAACAGCCGTTGTCCAAAAACCTTTTTAGTGGCTTCTAAAATAGTGTTCGTCTAATATCCTGTTCCCCGTCTTGAACACTTACATGAAAGTACATTAAACGATCACTCAAACACAAAATTGAAAGAAGTACTGTTACAGTAAATTGAAAAATCTTACCATAGCTAGGGTCTACGGCCAAATTCAAATTATTCATTCTGTTGACAACAGTTGAGCTTTCTGAATGCAAGGCCTGAATTGCAGCATCGATACTCTTATTGATATCTTCCCATAAAGCAATCATCATCTTTTTCATGCTTGCAATTTTCGCGCAACTGCTTGCTTTCAAACCCTTCAGCTCAATTTTGATACTCTCTTCAAGTTTAACAACTTGTTGCAGATCCTGCACTCGTTTGATATCAGGTTTCCTGCTCATCAGCGCATTTGATTTGTCCGTTACTGTCAAAATTTCGGCATTTAGATCAATATTTTGATCTGTGAGCTGTCTAATAGTGTTTTGACAGCCCTCAAAGAGTTGCAGAGCTTTCTCAGTTTTCTCAGTGGCATGCTTTAGATCAATATCTTCTTGCCGTACAACAAGATGAGCTCCATGACTAGCTCTCCAGCAATCCTTGCAAATAGAGATTTCACAGTTGTTGTTTTGACAGAAATACTTTTTTGCTTTTTTATGAGTTCGGCACATCTCTTTACCGGCTTCACTGGTTTGAGATCGGGCAGGCACATCTCTTGACTTAAAAAAATGAGAAAAAAGTTAACATCCTCCACCCCAGCGTTCAATTTAAATTAAGTTTGCTAAGCGCTACATGTAAAACACGTAAAATGATCTACTCTGATTGACTGAATATTCGAACTCAGAACTAAGCTTACATCCACCCCTCCCTACCCCCCCAAAAGAATGAAATATTTTCACCAAATATACAAAAAGTATTATCTGAAATATTCGACACATCGATGCAGCCATACTCATCATGACCAAATCATCACAAAGTTTTTACTCAAGCTTTTGCCACCTGTAGTTGTTACCTTTAGACCATGTGTGTTGGAGAAGCTCACAAATTTGAATTCATCGTAAGCCAAGCGATCAAATAATTCAATTGATTCTGTCAAGCAAAAGTTTAACCCGCTTAAAAAACCGAACTCCGATTTGAATAACACTTGCTAATCACAAACATAACAAACCAAAGTAATATAATAGCTTTCTATGATAATTTAATTAAAAGAAAACTCGTCTAAATACGCTTTATGCTCTATGGAAAAAATTACCCGTGTATCTTCCTGTACGTCTTCTCTACTTGAGATTTAACTTAGAGATGGTAGAAATTTCAAATTAATTTCAAAAATTTTCTTTTCGAACAATTCCAATTTGATTTTATAAATCTCTTTTCGAAAATTTTTTCCCTTAGACGTGGGCTTACTAATTGGCAAATACTTTCTGTTATGCCCAAAAATATTGATTTGTAGATGAAAAAATCTTTACCGCAATTGCAGACTTCAGCGTAAAATTCTCCACGCAATGCTTCTCATTTCGAACTCTATCCTCAATGGGAGTCCTGCATTCGGGGCATTGTCTGGAATAAGACTGTATAATCCCTTTGGGACAGTTTTTTGGAGAAGAGCAGTAGGAGTGCCCACATGAAGACAAAATGCGAGGGTTCACCAATGTTTCTAGACAAACAAGACAATCAAATTGATCACCACCTGTGGCCATAGTTATTCAAACTGTGTGGTAACAAACAATTAATGCAAAATTATAAACCAAATAATTTTGTTTCAGTTTTTTAGCAACAAGAGAATAAATACTTGAACATAAAGTCACCAGATATATTGTTCAAAACGCAAACCATGAAGCTTTTTTTTGAAAAACCACACGAACAATTTTTGACTTTGGTTAATATAAAAAATGGCCACAATGAATTAATATAAATACATTTTCTAAAACATAGACATTAATTTGTAGTATTACCGTCTCTGATTTGCAAAATGAAGAATTCATTTTTAAACCATTCTCAATGTTTAGTTAAATAAAGTATAATACTAACGTTAACAACTACCCATATTTTGGTAGGTTTAATAAACATATTCAAATCTCGTACAAATATCAACCAGCTAAATCATGCTATCCAATAGTAAAAACAAACTCCAAAAAATCTTTAATAAGCGTTTTTTTATCATATCAATACGGACTATCAGATTCAAAACCACGCTTCAGAGGTCTTTGTTATTTGGTCAATTATGACTGCATGTTAAAACCCGTGAAAAAACCAATCACTCACTGGCCTCAGTTGTTAGCGGTTGAAATGAGTCCATTCTAAAATTAAGAAACTGAGTTGCAATTCACAATGCAAGCAAACTCGGGAGTGCACTAAAAATCGTCTTTGGTTAGAAAAAGACTGATATAAGAGCAATATAGCTTGTGCAAATCTAAGGAGTTATTAAAAAAAACACCACATTGCGGAGCTCCTTTTCGTTACACTATTAACAATGCAATCTAGAATGAGTCTACTTTCAGGAAACTAAGGTGCTCTTAAGCTCAAACATTCTAAAAAGAATCAAATTTTGCAAGAAAACATGCAGTATATCCAACTTGAGCAAAAATAATGCAACAAATATATTATGATTCTTTTTCGACACAACCTTTTGCATGCCTAATCGGAATGGAAAGTTTAAAAAACACACTTTTGACACTAATTTTCAACGTCTTAGCTTCTGAACGATAAACTTTGCAACTTGTTCCTTCGACTAAACCCTCAATCTTAGATTTGGCAGGTTAGTTTTTCATTTTTAAAAAAAAGTTTCCAAAAAACGGTCCCAAAAATAAACATTTTTTTTCCCAGAAGCATAAGCTTTTTCTATATAAAAAGGGCGTACAGGCTTATGCAGCAAACAATCCCGAAATCTGTAGTTTCCAACGTACCATTATCCATGAAATTGGTAGCTTACTTTTTGAGAACAGTCAAAAAGTTTCCAAAGAACAGTCAAAAAGTGTAAATTGTGACCTTTCCAAACTAAAATTGGGGTGTAGCCGCTTCTGCCGGGAAATATCTCACGTCCTGTTTTATTCAATTCATTTTAACCCATATTTGGGAGGGCAGTTTTTGAGAAAAATGGCAACATTTCGAAAAATGAGCAAATTGTCAACAATTGGCTTGTAATGCGGCCATAACTTTTTTCTTTTAAAATTAGTCTGTAGTGGCTTAGACAAAATATATCCTCACTACTTGCTCTTTCCATTGAAACCTTAATCTCAGATTAAGGTTTCAATCCGAACAAAAACAAATCCGAGAAAATGAGTCAATTAATCCCCCGTTGAAATTTTCGACGGACTTTGAAAATGGAGTATGGGGAAAAGAGACCTAAAACATGCAGACACAAAACGTAGCAGCCATTCTTTTCGTTGGTCCGATATTTTGAAACAAGTCTCGAGCAAAAGATATCCCCGCTGCCTATTCTTTTCATTGAAACCATAATCTCAGATTTGGTGTAAAAATCGGAGAAAAACATCCGAGAAAATGAGTCAAACATTCCCCCCGTTGAATTCTTGACAGCCGTTGAAAATAGAGTAAGGTATAAGAGACTAGATAAACATGCAGGCAAATTATGTAGCAGTCATCTTTTTCGTTGGTACCAAAATTCTGAAATCGGCAAAGTAATTCCGAAAACAATTACAAATTTTGAGAAACGTGAAAAAATTTTCCAAAGCGTCTCAAAAATGAAAACCCTGATTATATCGAACACGACTTTTTAGCCCTCGAACTGACCTTAATAAAAGTAGACTAAGCCAAAAAACAACATTCAAAAAAACTTCAAAAAAAAAACAAAAATAATCAAAATCAGAATTGGCAAAATGACAAACTGGTAATCTAGTAAAATGATTATCTTGAAAACGAAATAACATCCATTCTTTTCAAACAAAGACGATAAAAACTACCGGATAATATCAATGTTATTTAAAAAAAATGAACCGACTGAAACTAGGACGAAAACCACTGATCCGAAAAAGTATTTGAAAAAATAACTACTGCTGGAAACGATTACACCAATTTACTACCTAAATCAAGGTGCTTTTAATTGAAATTTCAAGAAAATAAGCAAGTCTTGAAATTTATCATTTTGACCCTTTTTTGAATAAAATTATTAAGCAGAAGGTCTGATAGCTGATTGCAATATCCTTGCTTATCGCAAAGGTAAAAAATACTAGTTATCTAAGATTAGAGAGAAAACAACTATTCGAACTTTTCTAATCAACTTATCCGAGGTCTAATCTGATGATGGAAAGGCCGAATGACAGAAAATTTGCAACCAATAAAAATCGTTAGACGTTCATATTCCCCCAGAAGTGTTTTACACAAAATCAAAATCAAAATTAGCGGAAAAAGACATTTAAGTGGTACATCCATATTTTCATTTTGTGGAGATACCGAAAAAAATTTGCTTTGATCTCAAATCAATATTGTTGAATGTTTAGAAATTTACTTATGGTATTTTAAAAAACTGAAAACTCATATATCTGCTGATGTTTCAATCGGTTAATTTTTATTTTACTGTCCTTGTTTTATTCGCTTATGTTTAAGTTCTCGCTATTTCTTTGAGATTTTTCAATTCATTTCTGATTGGCTGAAATTAGTTTTTCATCCTTCGATTCCTCCATCAAAAGGGACGTCACCATCTTATTCGAGAGTTTAATCAAAGCTGGCCGGGGAAGAATAATTTAAGAGAAATCATCAATAAAAGATGAAACCCACAACAACGGGTCCAAGACAACAGGACTTCAGACTGAAATTTAAAATTACAAGCAAATCAAAATGCTAATTTTTTTATCTGCAGAATATTGATTTGAAAAACTTAGTCAAATATAGTCCCTAGCAAGCGCTAATCATGACAATGGAAACTTAGGAATGGCATCCATTAGTCAAATCAGCTAGATTTTGAAATGCATAAATTATACATACAAAAAACTTCACCAAACTTCTTAAAAAGCCAATTATTATGGTACAAAAAATTATCAAAAAATTGAGAAAAGCTCAAACCATCTTTAAATTACGCATGTTTTATGACTTTTTGAAAAAAAGCTCGGCTTAAAGTCCTTTGTTTTTCTACTCGGCCTGATGTTCGGCGCCCTTACACAACAATGTCAGAAAATTTTCTAGTGTTCTCATGTTCAAATTAATAAGTAAATACTTAGTTCTATCATTGACGATGCATGAAAAATCTTTTTCGAATTTGCCAGCAAACACAAACAGCTGTCAACAAATTCTGTGATAAACTTATTAGATAATTTCAGACTGAAAATGGAAAATGATCAATCTCATTTCAAAATGATGCCGAAGCTCATCATCCACCTACTCTTCAGATTTCAAGAACTGACGCCTAATGCCAAATCAAAAACAAGAAGAACGTGCAAGGCACTCAGTCATGCAGACGAAGAACCCATCATTAACAAGTTGGAGGAAACCAACGAAAAGGCCTTTGAGAACAAAATCCCGGATTTTTGAGTGCTGAAGAAAGATCTCAAAGTAACAATTGGACGAGTGGTGAATGAACTTTTGGCTGCTACAAAACAAAATCTTCGGCCGGATCGAAATGAAATAGCCTAGAGGGAAATTGGTGCAAAAGCCATGTGCGCGGACGAACTGGCAGAAAATTATAACGAGATATAATTTAAAGATATTGGGATATCCAGACCAAGTTCGACGAGATGCAAGTGGAAACAACTTACTCAAAAACTGATCAGACGATCCGCGATGTCACACAACTATCTATGGTGCACAAGTTACCCCTCCCGATATTTCTATTACTATCGGTTGTCGAAGCGCGTAATTAACAGGAGCCGACCAATCATTGTTTTAATCTCATTAATGGTAGCAAAAACCGATATTTTGCGCAAAGGCGTCAAAATTTGAGAGCAAAGCGCTCAAAATCATGTGTATGAACATCTCAAAATTGGGTTAAACGTGGCTTAAGTTTATGCAATTGATGAGACTAGATGCACGAGTCCTGGCAGTTTGCACCAGAGAAAGGAAGTTAATATGGAGTGGAAAAACAATGAAAACTTTGGCAGAGCAAGTAGTCTCTTTGAAGAAGCGTTGCAGCTGAATTACTCATTAGAGTGTAAAATTAGTTGTTTTCCGAGCAACAATGATATTTTTGAGCAGCACTCTGGTTGCTGTGGAACCTAATATTGTTCGCAATTTAGTTTCTAATTATTATTTTTATGATTAGTATAAAGGATTTACAAATCAAAATGATTTGAAGGTATTGCTACCTGAAACACAATAATAAATCAACGACACTGCGATCAGTCACAGGCAAAGCGCCAAGAGCATGGATGAGAGAAGTTGTAGTCTGTATGAAAGTAAGACCAAAAGAACTTCAGTAAACGTTGTTTGAGGCCAACCAGAGTATAGACATTAACAAAGGCAAGGATCTGATTTACCACGCGTCCAGTTCGGAAGAAAAAGTTTTGTCTCGAGCTCTCTTTCTTCACTTTCGGAAGATCAACGAAAAGTGCTGAGTCTGAACGAGTACTAATAGAGCTCATGAAAGTGATGCACTTATGCCAGTTGAAGTCATACACACCATTCACGATCTTTGAAAAAGTCAGGAGGTCATAAACTTGAAGATTCAGCGTTAGTGGTAACAAATTCAAGAAGACTAAGCGATCTCTGTAAGTACAGTCGTAACTACGAATCCAAGCTGTGGCTCGCTTCTGTACCTGTTCAAGTTTTGTGAGGGTGGCTTTCGATGGAGACCAACTCGGAAAACAATAGGTCAGCACCGGTAACACCATAGAGTTATACAAGTCAAATTTGGTTCTCCAAGATGCAAAAGGAGATACAGTTCTCATCAACATA